GTGAATTTACTTAATGCCACTGAACTGTACACTTAAAAATTGTTAAAATGATAAGTTCTATGCATATTTTACCACAATTTAAAAAAATCCATTGAGATACCATTTCACACCCACTAGGATGACAAACAACACCAAGTGCTGATAAGAAGGTGGAGAAATTGGAATAGTTCTACAGTGCTGGTGCTAATATGAATGGTACGGCCACTCTGGAAAACAGTTTGGCAGTTTTTCAAGAGTTAAACATAAACTTATGATATGACTCAGCAATTCCACTCCTAGGAATTGACACAAGAGAAATGAAAATATACGTCTACACAAAGGTTTGTAAGCAAATGTTCCTAGCAGCATTATTCATAATACCCAAGAACTGGAAACAATTCAAAAGTCCACCAACGGATGGTAGATAAAGAAAATGTGGTATATCCATGTTATGAGAGGTTCAGGGATTCGATCAGAGATGTAAAAGACACTTTCCACTCCAAACAAATGGACTGAAGGTATATTTTATTATATAGAGCATAGTAAAGGCGATAGTCTGCAAACAGATCCGAATAGGTCAAATAATAAGAGGGAAAAAACACCAGCTCGACTGGAAAGGGAAAACATCCTCAACGGCTGAGATAGCAGCAGATTCGAATAGGTCATATAAGAACAGGGAAAAACATCAGATTGATCGGAAAGGGAAACACCAGATCGACTGAAGGGAAATGACACAAATCAACCGGAAAGAGAAACACCAGGTTGACTGAAAAGAGAACACATCAGATCAATTACTTCACAATAAATCAATTACTCACAACATCCATGCCCCACTGCTGGGAGAGTCCTGTCAATCGACACGGCTGGGCAGGAATCACTCGTCCTGGGCAAGGCGTCCCTTCCACAGGTGGAACTCGCACCAGGCCTCAGTTTTCAGCAGTTTATATAAGCAGTTACAGAGTTTACAGAGCAAGCATTTTGCATTCCCACGCACAAATGGTTATCAGTGGCATACGTCCCAGCCCAATAGTTGTGTACGTGCATTGTTTACCCTGCTTATCGTCCCAGCCCGGCACAGATGGCCAGTCTGCCCCAGGCTGCGGCACCCAAAGGGCCTTGAAATTTTTACACATTGCAACTCTCTCCATGGGAGAAGGGCCAGTTCCCACCACGCAGAAAGCAGCTTTTATATTTCTTTTTGTGCTGGTGGCTGTAGGTCAATGGAGCGGCCAAACATGGCTGTACTCATGTCAAGACAATCCATACAAGCGAATATTATTCAGCAATAAAATGGAATACTGACACATGATGTAACACGAATGAACATCAAAAACATTATGCTAAGTGATAGAAACTATACACAAAAGGCTACATATTGTATGAGTCCAGTGATGTGAAATATCCAAAAAAGGTAAATGTATAGAGATATAAAAGTTAGTGGTTGCCAGGGGCTGGGTGTAGGAGTGGGTTTTGGCTACAAGTGTCCAAAGGAACTTTTTGCGGCAATGGCAATGGAGTGAGATGATAATGGTGGCACAGCTCTATAAATTTACTAAAAATCATTAAATTGTACACTTATAATGGGTGTATTTTATAATATATAAATTGTACTTCAATAAAGCTATTTAACAAACAGGACTATGGGCTGTTCTTTCTCATAGTCCAGGAGTTCCTGACCATGTGGTGATTACTAAAAGTATCCAGCCCTCTGGGAGACAACAGGAATGCATAAAACCTTTACATTACGAGTATAGCTGTGGGAGACATACATGGCTACAGGCCTTCAGACCCGGTGCACACCCTCATCCTATGAGGGCCCAACCATTGAGCAGTTTGCCAGGCTCCCCCATGCCCTACTTCCTCACACCCAGTGTCTACTTACCCACTTACAGTACCTACCTGGTCCTTGTTGGAATACGAGGGGGTGATACACTACCAGGGCCTGGCCTCCAGAGGACTTCCTTTCAACACTGCTGGGGGAGACACTCCCCGGAACAGAGACCATCATCTTGCTTCTTCCAGGCCAACCACTGCCTTCCCCAGGCAAACTCTAGGTCAGAAGCTTCAGAACACAGAGGCTTTCATTCTTTCCCAGGGGAGATGGGGTAGAAATGCAAACTGGGTCACAGCTGGACAGAGATGCTCCATGCCTTGCTGCTGTGTCCTCTGTCAGGTGCTCCAGGGGCCCTGATGGCCAGTCTGGGAGCACCTCTGTTCTGTTCTCAATTTACTCCATCTGCTAAACAGGAATCCAGCATCAAAGGTGAATTAATTGGTGATGTATTCATTATCAAACAGTTCGGAGCAGTCTGAGGTCACAGTACCAGGGCTGGGTGATGACAGGAATGCAGAAAACCTTTATGTCATGCAAACTAGAAGAAGCTCAATGAAGGCAGACTTCACAATGTCCATGAACAACAGGCAACTTACCCAGAAGCCCCCCCAGAAACCATCCCATCAGGCCCCTCGCTCACAGTGGGAGTCATGTCCATGCCAAACTCAGTCACGGGTAAGCAGCACGACGCCACTCCAGTGAGTCCAGGGCCACTCACCATCCCTCCAGGGGAGTGCAAGCAGGGAACAGGGTCTGCTTACGCTGTTGGGGGGTGACCATCAACACAGAAAGGCTTCTTCCACAGGACCCAGCAGTGCGAAAGTTCTCCCAAAGTCCCTCAGCAGGTCACAAAGTACAATGTGGCCCCTACAGGCTTCCCCACATGCAAAGCAGTCATGAAGTGTCTCCCCAGGTGGAGGTTCTTCTATATGAAGTCAGCTTGTGGCTGAAGGCTACTCATATAGGGTCTTTCTTGGGTGTTAACTCTTTTTCACTGAATGAATTTAAAAAAAAAAGAAGCTGATTATTTAAAATGAAATGTTAAAAAAAAAAAAGGCAGCTGAAAACTTGACTCCATTCACTGCTCTCAAAAAGCTTTTTTCGAGTGAAGCTTCTGGTGTTGGGCGAGGCGGGAGCTGTGGGCGACAGCTCCCCCACACTGGCTGTACTCCTGGGGGCTTTCTCCAGTGTGTCATTCTACACAGAACAAAGCAGAAACTGCAGTTTTCTGCTCTCCTACTTACTACACTCACAACTTAGTAACTTGCTGCTGCAAAATAGGATTAAATCTGTGAGACGAGGCTTTCCAACATTAGCTGTACTCATTATGCCTTTCTCCAATAGGGCTTGTGTGAAACAGGTTCAATATTTTCCTGAAAGTTTCCACGTAGTTACTGCATTTATACAAGTGTCCTCTGGTGTGAATTTCTGGGTGCTAATTAGAGAGGAGCTCTGAATGGAGGTGCCCACATTCTCTGCGCTTCTGAGTCCTTTATTACTGGGGATGTTTTGGTGCAGGGGGAAATGCAAAATTTTGCTCAAGGCTAGGCCACACTCCCTGCCCTTATAAGGGCTTTCTTTGGGGCGAACATTCTGGTGCTCACAAGGAACAGAGCTCTGGCTAGAGGCTTTCCCATGTTACCACACTAGGAACATTCAAAGATGTGAACACACTCCCACTTTCTCAGGATGAAGACAAAGGTGAAGGTCTTCCCAGGTTCCCAACGTACTTAGGATTTTTTTCCCATTCTGAAGTTTTCTGGTGGTAGAAAGGGTTGCTTCTCCTTGAACACTCTCCATATGCTATGCGTTTATCAGGTGTCTCTTCAGTGTCAGTTCTCTGTGGGTTCTGCAAAACGTGGAGTTGGCAGGGCCTCAGGGTCTGGTGACAGGCAGGTGCTGTATACTGAGGGGAGTCCAGGCCTCAGACTATCAACCCTTTGCCCACCTTCCTCAGAGGGAACAAGCCAGTCTCCTGGACGAACAGGTTTCATGAACTATTTAAGGCTACATATCAGCCTAGGACATGTTAAGGGGAGGCCAATGGTGAGGACCTGGCCATAAGAGGGGAGAAGGAGAAAGGGTGAGAGGCAGAGAACAGAGAGGGGTCAACCAGGGGATGGGAGTCAGAGGAAAGCAGGATGGAGTCAGAAGGGTCAGAAAGATAAAATAAAGCCATGGCTACTGACTCCAGCACCAGGGCAACAGAAGGCACAGGTCAGGTACCAGGTGACAGACCAGCCCACTGCCACAGGCCCTCCCACTCCTGTCTTGCACTCACCAGGACTGGTGCTCCATGGGCCTCTCTGGTCATGGACTGATTCACGTTGCCCTGTCCGCCAGCCAGGTCTCCTGGCTGTGTTCAAGTTGGGTGACCACACTGGGGGTGGGCGGGATGAAGGCAGTAATTCTTATGATCTGCTACTTGGGCTGTGAAACTTTTGACCCTGGACCGTGGAGGTCAAGGTCCCAAGGCAAAAGGTGTTGGGGTTGTTTGTAGAGCAGTCTGGAAGAGGTAGCAGGACGTGGGCCAGCACCAGGGCCAGCAGCACCGCTCCCAGGGAACACGGCGGCCTGACCCACTGAGGACAGCACCAGCTATTGGGCTCCTCAAAAAAGGAGCCCACTTTTTTCCTGAAAAATATGTGACCTTGTCCTCAAAGTAACTGGGCCCTGCAACACCGGGCTGGGGGCAGATGGATGCGATCTAAGCACTGGGCAAGGGACCTGGGACCCCAGTCTCTACCATGCCAGCCGCTTGCCCTTACATCTCCCTAGCCCTGTCCCCTGACACACCTGCGCCCTCTCACATCTGACAGCATGGGCCCTCCTCCTGGAGGTGCACGCTCCCCAGATCCACTGGTCTTTGGACAGTGATTCTCTTTCTCTGCACCCACCTCCTCCACTACCTTAGTCTGGATGCCCCTCCTCCCTAGGCTATCATTGGCCAAAGTCCGTACGCCCCCCTCTCCTGGGCCCTCATTGGCCAGGACAGGACGCACGGCGAGCGACTTTCTGGGTAACGTAGTTCGCGTCGCGTGAGCCGTGACGCGGAGTGCGCCCTTTCTCATCACTTAAACAACGACCAAGCTGCACCGCGACACGCTGAGGAAAAAGCGTCACAGTGGGCGGCAGGCCCTGAGCCAATGAAGGCTCGGTACGGGCGTTTCCGCGCGGGCCGCCGAGGATGGGGCGGGACTTCCGTCGTCGCCATTGCAGGCTTCATTTTGCGGGGGTGGGGCCGGTCCGCGGGCTGTCGCTGGGACTGCGGGAGAAGGGGCGGGGAAGGGCCGGGAGCGTCAACGCACTTCTGCACCCGTGTTCACCCCCGGCCAATGAGCCCTCCTTCCCGAGCCCCGGTTTCCCGGTTTCGCCGCGAGTCTCTGCACCCCGCCTTCCTCCCACGGTCTTCGGGCGCATGTTTCCCGGTGAAGACTGAGGCCCTGAGTGCGACCTCGGCCCGCGGTCACCCGCTCAGTGGGGCGTGGGGCTCGTAGGAGCACGCGGGGCTCGGCCCTTCTCCGCCTCCCACGGCCCCGCCCCGCCTACAGGTTCCGACGGGGCCGCGGCGTCGCTGATGGATGTGGCGCAAGTGAGTGTGAGTGCCCCCGCCCTCGTGATCCTGGAGCCGCGGTGCAGGGAGTGGTGACGTCCTGGCCTCGTCGCCTACACATGAGTCTCGGCCCTGAGGGTCCCTTTTCCCTCGAATCCTGAATCCAGGCCCGAGGTTGTATGGAGGGGCTCACATTTCTGGAATCCTGTAGGATAAGGTCTGGAAGGGTGTCCCAGGCACAGGGACCAGCGTGTGCAAACTGCTTGGAAGTGAGTATAAGGTGGAAGTGTTCAGGGAACCGCAGGTCTCTGTTTCGTCTGGTGGAAATAGAGAGCAGGGGGACCGGAGTCGGGCATGGAATGGCAGGCTGAGGAGCTGGGCCTCTTTTCTGAGTGTGGTGGGAGTTGTGGAAAGTTTAAATCAGAGGATGGAGGTGATCTGACTCAACTCTTAACAGGCTGCCTCTGGATGTGAGTGGAGAACAGACTGGGTGGGGTTGAGGGGTTGTGAGGTTGGAGGCAGAAACACCATCATGGAGGTGACTGCAGCAACCCAGTGGCTGGGCCGGAGGGGAGCCTGTGGAGGTGGGAGAAATGGTTGGCTCCTGGATTTGCTTTTTAAGTAGGGTCGCTAGATTTCCTGATGTGGGGCAGTGAGAGATCAGGGTTGACCCTGATAGGTTTTCAGATGTGGATTGGTATGAGGAGTAGTTTACAGAGGAAAGATAAAGAGTTGGGTTTTGGCCTTACTGTATTTGAGATGTCCCAAAGACTGCCAAATTGAGGTGCCAGTGTGCCTCTTAACATGCGGGTATGGATTTATGCCAGGTCCAGGCTGGAGGCATTCAAAGAGTGGAGGCTGTGTGTGGATGCTGTGCAGCTGTGGGTTGGATTCAGGATGGTGACCAAACCTCTGAGCAGAGAGTAGACCTGGGACAAAAAAATGAAGCATGGAAGTAATAGAGGTAGGATGGCAGTGGGGCCTGAGGTTAGATTGGTTTACCTCTCTACAGCTCACCAGGTTTTTATGACCATCCTCCTTGGGGCCTGGGGCTTTTGTCATGCTATTGGAGGAGCAGGGGCATAAAAGGGTGTTGTTCTCAGCCAGAATATGTTACGAGAGGTTCGGGGATTCGATCGGAGACGTAAAAGACACTTTCCACT